ATGAAATGTCCAGTTTTACAATAGTAATAACATTTCCTGACTTGATTCTTGGGTTTCAGTTGACTCTTTTCTTGATTTCTAGATTTGGAAGTTTGAGATTTCCCTTTCTTGTGAGAGTTGAAATTGCATTGATTACTCTTTTTGTTCTGATTCAATTTCTCTTTAATGTTTAACCCCTCTCCAATTTTAGAGTCTTTGAATTCAGATTTTAGTTCAAATTCTCTATTCCTTAAGGTTGAGGTAATAATATCAACTGTCAAATCCTCCCTTCCATATTCTAAAGCATTTCTAAGTTCTCTGTATTTTTCACCTAGTGCATTCAACGGAGCAACAACTTGTTGATCATCAAATAGTTTCTCATCACAGTTAGCCAGATCTTGAATCAATTTAGTGGATTTGTCAATGTTTTCTTCCAGAGTGGAGGATGTATCAAATATGAAATTATAAAATTGTATGAGGAGATAGCAATTATTAAACATTGTCTTGGTTAAGTAATGGACCCTAACTTACTCCACAAAGCTTTAGTAGTAGTTTCCCAAATCTTTCTTATCAGTTGGTTAAGTAATGGACCCTAACTTACTCCACAAAGCTTTAGTAGTAGTTTCCCAAATCTTTCTTATCACACTATCAGACAAATGTAGAAAAATTGAATTCCAAGCATTCTCATCTAATTCCTATCTCCTATAAGAACTAATTTTAGTACCCCATGATCCATCAAAGGGCAACAGCACACCTATATTGTAATAACATTGGACCGAAGAAAGATTTTAACAAGAAAAACCTCTTTGAAAACGATTTATTCCAGAAAACGTTTGAAATGTTTCAAAAAATTTACAAATCTGCCCAAAAAAAACTAGGGTTTCAAGAAATCAATCCCTAACGCCTATAGGACAAAGTTTTATAGATTTTGCATAAAATTAAAGGAACGTGAAGAATTTTTTGCCACAAAGGTCCAGATGTTCAGCTTTAACTCTGCTCACCCGTTGAGCATCTACAAGTAGATTACGCTCAATTCCACTATGAAAGCACCAAGAAATAGTACAAATGTATGATTTCTTCAAGTTTTCTCTCGCCTCTCTTTCAACACAAAAAACCATGTAATATGTCCAAATTTCTCTCAGTCGATTGTTTATCAAAAACAATTAGAACCAAAATTAATATGTCCAAATTTCTCTCAGTCGATTGTTTATCAAAAACAATTAGAACCAAAATTCAACAAGTTTACAGAGAGAACAACAAAGATTACAGAGAAAGATTCAGGCATAAAAAACTTAGAAAACCAATCACACACGGAACACTGCCAATCCTACGAAGGAGAGAGAGGTGGTATATATATTCACGTGCAAATCGCAGATCAAACGGTCACAGTTCCAACAGATGAAGGGTCCAGATCAAAAGTATCCAAAATGCCAAAGTCGTCTTTCAAAACACGATTTTAGTAATAATTGATCAGAACCTAAAATTATACACAAGTGTCCCAATTAAAAAACCAGCCTAACAACAAAGGATTAGAGCTCGATGAATAATAAAACACCAGGTCCAAATCCTACAGTTATATTTGTTGTATATTAGGAAGTTAATCTATATTGAAATTTGTGCACCGATTTTTTTGTACGGTGTAACTGTAATCTTAATATCATAAAGATTTCCATCATTTTTCCATTTTTTTTTATTTGTAGAATGGTCTAGTAAAACCTTGATAAATTAATAATCTCGCTAAAGTAATAAAATTCTTCGATCCTGACTTAAGTCGGTGTACTAAATTAATAAACACGCTAAATGTATAAGATAAAAGTTTTTTTTTTTTTTAAATCCTTTAAAGCCTAACGAATATATAAAATAATAACTACTTAAATTTATACAAGTTCGTACTAATACAAATTAATAAACTTTTGATTTTACAATATTTTTTTCAAATTTTCAAAATATGCATCTAAAGTCGTTTGCGTTTTCTTTGCACCCAAATCAAACTCAACTTCATCCCTATTTTTTTGTAATGCACATACGACATTTGACATATTTTTTTATTATTTTGTACAAAATAATTATTTAAGATTATGACTCCTTAAAATGCCACTTTTAAAGAAATAATTGGTAAAACACAGCTATCATCTGGATCATGATAATCACTGATAGGTGTATTCAGTGCCCTTGAATAATATCATTATCAGTAAGAGGTTTCATAACCGCGCTTTTACTAGGATTGTTTAAAAAGTAATGATATGTAGCCCAACTGGATTACAGCCCAATTTAGATAGCGCTAGATAATATGATAAATAAAAGATGAAATTAAATGACTTATATAATTTCACATATCATTTGATGTTACATTAACAACCTTTTTTTTTTTTGTCCTATTTGACTCTCATTTTTTTAAAATTTATTTTACTCAAACTCATTTTAATCATATGTTTAATCTACAACTTTTCAATTCCACATTTCAATAACGTTCATCAAATACTATAAATCTGATTTTTAGTTTTCCCCACCGGCTTGCAAAGCACAGTGGAACAAAATGACAAATTGTCCCTTTATTTTATAGGCTTAGCATTCTTAATACTTTTCTGTATCATATTGGTAGGATTCATAGAATAAAAGAGAAGTATTGAAGAAAAGGAGAAATATAATATATGAGAAAACTTCATTTTGTTTATCTTTCAAAATTTTGGGATGAAATAAGAGACCTTCAATGAGAGAATTAAACTAGTCTAACATGCTCAAAGACGGGGCTTATTTACGAGGATGAGTTGGCAGTTTTTGATTGGCAGCTTTTTGTTATACTTTTTTTACGTGTCAATGAAATTTCGTAAAGTATATGTAAAAAAGGCCTACCAATGAGAATGTTCGTGTAGCACGCCAGTTAATGAGATAATGTATTTTTATTTTTAAGTTAGTACGCGAAGTATTTTATAAAAATTATTGATGTTTTGAATATCACACGACTTTTTAAAACTTAAAAAAAATTTAATTTAGAATTTTAAAATTTTGTAGACTCCTTAAAATGCCACTTTTAAAGAAATAATTGGTAAAACACAGCTATCATCTGGATCATGATAATCACTGATAGGTGTATTCAGTGCCCTTGAATAATATCATTATCAGTAAGAGGTTTCATAACCGTGCTTTTACTAGGATAGTTTAAAAAGTAATGATATGTAGCCCAACTGGATTACAGCCCAATTTAGATAGCGCTAGATAATATGATAAATAAAAGATGAAATTAAATGACTTATATAATTTCACATATCATTTGATGTTACATTAACACAACATAGACTGTGGTTATTACTCCGGTGAGGTTAAATAGCATTACTCTAGTTTAAAAGGTGTTCAATATCCATCACATTTCTATAACGTAGACCAGAAATAACTTAACGCAATACATTGATTCATTCATCTTCACTAACATTTGTGCAGATCCTTGAAAAATGGCCATTTGTAAAATCCCCATGTGAAAAGGCCCCGCTATTAAAAGAATAATAAGCCTGCTGAAAACGGGATTGAAACCGTAATTGGTTTCCTCTTAATTTTCGACTAATGCTATATAACCCCACTGGAGTTACAATCTCAGTTTAGGTTGCGCTAAATGATAGGCCAAATGAAAAGTAGAATTAAATGACTTATTTAATTTTATCTATCATTTAATATTACATTAACATCACCTAAACTGAGATTGTAACCAATGAGACTAAATAGCATTACTTTTAATTTCCACCGGAATTTGGGCCAAACGCTCTAATGCATCAACAATGATTTATTTGAAATATGGATAAACTGCGCGCATCCTCTACCTTTTTACCCTTATAGTACCTTTATTCACAACCTTTTTTTTTTGTCCTATTTGACTCTCATTTTTTTAAAATTTATTTTATCCAAACTCATTTTAATCATATGTTTAATCTACAACTTTTCAATTACATATTTTAATAACGTTCATCAAATACTATAAATCTGATTTTTAGTTTTCCCCACCGGCTTGCAAAGCACAGTGGAACAAAATGACAAATTGTCCCTTTATTTTATATACAAAAATAGGGGCTTAGCATTCTTAATACTTTTCTGTATCATATTGGTAGGATTCATAGAATAAAAGAGAAGTATTGAAGAAAAGGAGAAATATTACATATGAGAAAACTTCATTTTGTTTATCTTTCAAAATTTTGGGATGAAATAAGAGACCTTTAATGAGAGAATTAAACTAGCCTAACATGCTCAAAGACGGGGCTTATTTACGAGGATGAGTTGGCAGCTTTTGATTGGCAGCTTTTTGTTTTACTTTTTTTACGTGTCAATGAAATTTCGTCAAGTATATGTAAAAAAGGCCTACCAATGAGAATGTTCGTGTAGCACGCCAGTTAATGAGATATTGTATTTTTATTTTAAAGTTAGTACGCGAAGTATTTTATAAAAATTATTGATGTTTTGAATATCGCACGACTTTTTAAAACTTAAAAAAAATTAATTTAGAATTTTAAAATTTTGTAAAAATTTTGAGTAATTTAAACTAGATATCATTGTTCCAATAAAAATCTACTTACTTTGAAAGACTGATTCTAAACAAATTCCAGCACATGTCAAATCCTTTCACAGAACTACCTCCACGTGTCCAAATCCAATTGGAAGTTTGACACAAACACCCTAAACCAACACGTGAGATTATCAACTCTCTTATAGCAAATGACCAGGGCTAGAAAGAGAGAACAAGCTCGTTCATTCCCTTGTTTGGATGAAAAACTGATTTATTTAACAGAGTCCAAGTACACTCCTAAACACAATGTTTCTCTTTGATTTCCACTTTTTTTTAAAATTATAATATGATTAATTAATCTCACAATATATATATATATATACACACACACACATAGAGACGTGAAGTATTCAAATACAGAGCGAGAAAGTAAAGTTTTTCGTTTCTTCGTCATGCATGCTGAGTTGAGTTGCGAGGAATTATAGATACAGAGGATTGAATATATCTAGTGTATTTAGTTGAGAACGAAACAATGGCGGCGAACAAGGGCATCAGCTTGGAGGAGATAAAAAATGAGAATATTGATCTCGTGAGTTTATTCTTTTTTTTTTTTCTATTTCTATTATTTTATTCAGAATCAATGTAAGAAAAACTTTCTTCGGATTATTAGCCAGATTTATCTATTCTACAGTATGCATTATCCAGTATTACGAACAGTTTTATTAGAAATTTTTTAATCCATGTTTCATACAAATTGTTGTTTCTGAGAATTTCTGGCCTCAGATCTGTAGTCGCGAATATGATATACATACATGTTTGTTATATATTTATGTGAAGTGTTTGCGCCGTGTTCGTTGGAGTGTCGATTTTCATGCATGTAAATTCTTATAATCGAATTGTATGCGATTCGCTGCGTATATAATTCCTAGGGGATCTGTAGTTCGAATTCATGATTGTATTTTTGCGTAAATTGCACACACAAAATTGTGCATGCATGAAAAAATATGTGTAAGGCGTTTCAGTGCTGCGCGTGTAGTGTTTCTGGAGAATAAGTTAATCGTCTGGTTTCGAATCCTGGGTACCATTATATGTACAGTTTCGTATTTTGCTTACATGCTTCGATAGGATATATGCAAGAATTTTGACATTAGAGTAGGATAAGGTTAACTAAATTTTAGTTGTGATTCTTTTAAAATTGAATTCAATATAACCCAATTTCGATTGTAATTCTTTGGAAACTGAACTCAGTAATCAGGCATTATATGCTTATTGTTTAATTGTTGGTTTAATATTTTGGGCACAGGAGCACATGCCAGTTGAGGAAGTATTTGCACAATTGCAATGTTCAAAGGAGGGTTTGACAAGCACTGAAGCTGACAAAAGGCTTCAAATCTTTGGTCAAAACAAGCTAGAGGAGAAAAAGGCAAATTCTTTTTTTTTTCCTGGTTTTATACTTATAGTCTGGTTAACTTGAGGTAATAAAATAACACACTAACAAGCATTCATAAACAGGAAAGCAAATTCCTCAAATTCTTGGGTTTTATGTGGAATCCTCTATCATGGGTTATGGAGATTGCTGCCATCATAGCTATTGCTGTGGCAAATGGACAGGTGTGTTTGTTGCATGTTCTCACTTTCTTTGTGCGTGTATCTGATATTCCAATAAATAAATTTCAGGGTAAGCCTCCAGATTGGCAGGATTTTGTTGGTATAGTGGTTTTATTGTTCATCAACTCCACCATAAGCTTCATTGAAGAGAACAATGCGGGCAATGCTGCAGCGGCACTAATGGCAGGCCTTGCACCAAAGACAAAGGTATTGTTAGATTTAGCTGAAGCATTGACACCACCATGTCCCATTTTCTTGGTTTTCAACTGAGAATTTATTCATTTTGTTTCGTGAAGGTCCTGAGAGACGGCAGATGGTCTGAGGAGGAAGCTGCGATCCTGGTTCCAGGAGATATCATCAGCATCAAGTTGGGAGATATAATCCCAGCAGATGCTCGGCTTCTTGAAGGGGATCCACTCAAGATTGATCAATCTGCACTCACAGGCGAATCATTGCCAGTAACTAAAAACCCCGAGGATGAAGTGTTTTCAGGCTCCACTTGCAAACAAGGAGAGATTGAGGCTGTTGTCATTGCCACTGGGATCAATACTTTCTTTGGGAAAGCTGCTCATCTTGTCGACAGCACTCATTCAGTCGGCCACTTCCAGAAGGTATTTTTGACATTGTTTACCTTAATCATAAACTTGTTTCACATATACATATTGTCTATAATATGTTGGACATAATGAATTTACCTCAGTTTTTTACCTGTTTGGCTTTTCTGATTTGTGTTGTACGAATGTAATTGATATGGTTAGGTGTTGACTGCGATTGGTAACTTCTGCATATGCTCCATTGCGTTGGGGATCATAATAGAGATAGTGGTGATGTACCCGATTCAGCACCGGAAGTACAGAGATGGAATTGACAATCTGCTGGTTCTTCTCATCGGAGGAATTCCAATTGCCATGCCAACTGTGTTATCTGTGACTATGGCCATTGGATCCCACAGGTTATCACAGCAAGGTGCTATCACCAAGAGAATGACTGCTATTGAAGAAATGGCTGGAATGGATGTCTTGTGTAGTGACAAGACCGGAACGCTTACCCTAAACAAACTCACAGTTGACAAAAATTTAATTGAGGTTGGTAAAGCTGATATAGAATGAGATCAAAATTTTATAAGGGAAATTGGGTGAATATACTAAAATTTTGAGCACTATTTCTGTTAATAAATTAATTTACAGCAATACTTTCTAATCATGGAAGTGGTGTTACATAGATATTTGCAAAGGATGTGGACAAAGAAATGGCAGTTCTTCTTGGGGCTAGAGCATCAAGGGTGGAGAATCAAGATGCTATTGACGCTTGCATTGTTGGAATGCTGGGTGATCCGAAAGAGGTACCTACACTTTTTGCCGGGCTAGATATTCTTGTCCATAATTATGAAATTTACTATGATCGATCTGTTATCACAGGTTACCCGTTACTATGTTTGGTTAGATATTTTATAAACTTTTTACTTGTGGTTTCCAGGCTAGAGCAGGAATCACTGAAGTGCATTTCCTTCCCTTTAATCCTGTGGATAAGCGCACAGCTATTACTTATATAGACAGCAATGGTAATTGGCACAGAGTTAGCAAAGGGGCTCCCGAACAGGTAAATTATGTAAATTCCGGAGAAACATAATCTTCCTCTATATTATCTGCCTAATTCAAAATTCTCTACCAAACAGATCGTGGAGCTCTGTGGCCTAAAGGAAGATTTGAAGAAAAAAGTTCACTCCATTATCAATAAGTTTGCTGAGCGTGGTCTTCGCTCTCTTGCTGTAGCTCAACAGGTGAGTTAAAAAGCGAATTTCTTTATAATTGATGACAGAATGCAGCTTCATATAACTGAAACTTGTTTACAATATTTTTCTGGTTTATCAGGTTGTACCTGAGAAGACAAAGGAGAGCCCAGGTGGGGCCTGGGTGTTCGTGGCACTCTTGCCACTTTTTGACCCTCCAAGACATGATAGTGGCGAGACCATCAGGCGTGCCCTTAACCTTGGCGTCAATGTTAAGATGATCACTGGTGATCAGCTAGCCATTGGCAAGGAGACTGGTCGAAGGCTAGGAATGGGAACAAACATGTATCCTTCTTCCTCCCTTCTTGGACAGCACAAGGATGAAAGTATCGCTAACATCCCGGTTGAGGAACTCATTGAGAAGGCTGATGGCTTTGCTGGTGTCTTTCCAGGTGAATAGTCTAACATTCATATAACCTTTTACAACCTACCACCTTAAATTTAAGATATATTGATTGCTTTCATTCGGTTAGTCTTTTGTGAACATTGTGTGCTGACAATTTTTGAGGACGGATGTAGAGCACAAATACGAGATCGTGAAGAAGCTGCAAGAAAGAAACCACATCTGTGGAATGACAGGAGACGGTGTGAATGACGCCCCAGCTCTAAAGAAGGCAGACATTGGCATTGCAGTGGCAGATGCAACTGATGCTGCCCGGAGTGCATCTGACATAGTCCTGACAGAACCTGGGTTGAGTGTGATAGTGAGTGCAGTTTTGACAAGCAGGGCCATATTCCAGAGGATGAAGAACTACACAATATATGCAGTTTCGATAACTATACGCATTGTGCTCGGTTTTATGCTCATTGCACTCATCTGGAAGTTTGATTTCTCACCGTTCATGGTTCTGATAATCGCAATCCTCAATGATGGAACCATCATGACAATTTCTAAAGACAAGGTGAAGCCATCCCCGATGCCTGATTCATGGAAGCTGAAAGAAATTTTCGCCACTGGAATTGTCCTAGGAACTTATCTTGCAGTAATGACTGTAGTTTTCTTCTGGGCTGCACACGAGTCAGATTTCTTCGTGGTAAAGGAGTCCATTTATTTAAATAGATCGAGGATTATTTGTTTTTAATCCATTCATGCTGAAATTCACGATGTAATTAATTTTTGCAGGAAAAATTTGGTGTACGATCAATCAGGCACCATTATCCCGAGCTCAATTCAGCTCTTTATCTTCAAGTGAGTATTGTTAGCCAGGCACTTATCTTTGTCACTCGTTCAAGGAGTTGGTCATTCATGGAACGTCCCGGACTCCTGTTAGTGGGAGCATTTCTAATAGCACAACTGGTAAGTTGTACAAAAACATAGCAATTTCAGTTGAGTTGCTGCCTTTCTAACATCATTTTTGTGTTTTTTTGTCAAGGTCGCAACATTAATTGCTGTGTATGCTAACTGGGAATTTGCAAGGATCCGCGGTATAGGTTGGGGATGGGCAGGTGTTATCTGGTTATACAGCTTCATCTTCTACTTCCCTCTGGATCTTTTAAAGTTTTTCATCAGATATGCATTGACTGGCAAGGCGTGGAATAATATACTTGACAACAGGGTATTATATCCAGCCTTTTCCAATTAACAAAATGAGACTACTTGGAAAGCTTAAGCTATTAGAGTGATTACATATATAAATTTAGTCTTTCAAGATTGTTTTGTGCACATTTTCCTAAACGGATGACAACAAGATTTAAGTTCAAAACTTTTATAAGTTGTCATAGTTTAAGCTTTAAGAGGAATTTAGTTTTTGACTCCCTTTCGATTTTTGTCCCCTAAACAATCATTCTTATTTGTCCTCGTAATTCTGTAGACTACCTTTACAACGAAGAAGGATTATGGCCGGGGAGAAAGGGAAGCACAGTGGGCAATGGCTGAGCGCACACTGCATGGACTTCAGCCACCAGATACTTCAGAACTCTTTACCGACAAAAATAGCTACACAGAACTGTCTGAAATTGCTGAACAGGCCAAAAAACGTGCTGAAGTTGCCAGGTCTATTTTGTGTTTGAAAATTTATTTGCCTAAAAAAAGTTCTCATTATACACATGAATTTGTTTATTTTGATTGGATGGTTCTTCCATACCAAATACGTCCTGAAAATAAGATAAAATCTTGTTCATTATATTGTGTAGAGTGATATCCACTACTGCTTACCTAATGTGTCCCCAACTTTATTGCTACTAAATTTCAGGCTGAGAGAACTTCACACTCTGAAGGGGCATGTGGAGTCAGTTGTGAAGCTTAAGGGTCTTGACATTGAGGGTATTCAGCAACACTACACAGTTTAATAAAATGCAAGAGGGGATGATGTTAGAATTTTCCAGAAGATAAAAGACGAGAAAATGTAACTTTTTCTGTAATTTTATTTTTCCAGTTGGATTGTGGAGGTAATTGCGAAAGCATTGACAATAATTGTTGGAAACAGCAGTCAGTCATAGGACTAGAGTTTTAGATTTGGTTCTTTCTTGAGCATGATACTTTACCACAATCTGTTTATCTATATAATAACACATCTTACTGCATTTTATGCAAATTTTCAGTTTTTCACTGGTTAAAATCTCGAACATAAATGCATTACTTGAGTAATGAGAGGACGTGTTTGGGATTGGATAATATTGCACAGACGACATTTTAAATTGTTTATCTTCTTTAATTATGTTGAGTACAAGATTACAAATATACTTTTGAAATGTGCTTCTATGGTGTGCATTACAAGAAAAGTTTCTAATCACAGTCACAATCTTTGAAACATTTAAAATTTGGATCTCTAATTAAAAAAAATCTGGGAATTCGAGTCCAAACTCGTATTTATTAGCATATAGTTCCTTTTATAAGCATTTTTCATCGACTAAAAACCCAAGTTATAGCATACAGTGCACACATGATTATAAAGAAATAAAAAGAGAAAGAAAGAAAAAGAAAGGACTTGGCCATTTTTTATTTATAAATCTAGTTCTTGTGAGGTTTTTATCTTGTACATTTTTCACTTTCATCGAATTGAATAAAAATGAAGTAATTTAATAGATCAAATTTATTCAAATTTTAATAGAATAACCTAGAAAAAATAATAAATAAAAATTCTAGAGAAAATAGCATATCTCAATTTCACATTAGAATTTCTAAATTAATTGAAATGAAGTAGAAAAGTAGGACAAGAGTGGAGAAAATATTTCACGATGAGCAAAATTTGCCTTTTCGTTACAACATGCTTGTGTGGAAGTGATTTTTGATAATCATTTTTCTCCATATTCATGTTCAATCACATATTTTTGAAATAGTTATTCTGTCATTTTGTTTAACCGCATGTTTTTGAAAATATTCACTTTTCTAATAATCTCTCCATGACAAGGACTTCAAAAAAAAAAAGAAGAAGTAACGTATCGAAAATGGTTTCTCACAAAAAGCTATTTTAAAACTCTTGAAAATTAAGAAGTTTAGTTAACGATAAAGACGCAAAGGGCTGTGAACAAGGGCATGAAATTTGCGTAGTTTGTCAAGACGAATACGAGAAAAATGAGAGAACTGGAAATATTCATTGCGACACCAACGGGACAAAAGAAGTTTGCAAAGAGAAATTGTCTATGACCAAGAACAAAAGCAGTCCCTTCAATACAAATTAACCAGGAAACGTAAACTATTTATTATTGCGTTCGCTGATTTTATTTGAAATTGTGTTTGAATAAATATAGTTCCATCGTTCCACTTCTTAATGGTATTTCTCAAGTTCAAATTCAATTGGTTTTCAGTTTTGTTCAGAAATTTTTCATTGTCAAAACACATAAATGTAATTCCAGAACTAAGAATCCTTTTCTAATCATACAAAGTTCGCCATACATATAATATATTCAAAATTGAATTGTATCTGATTTATATACTGATTTATGAAACTGAGGAATAAGTTTCATTTTGGCAAAGCTACCATACCATCAGAAAAAACATTTTGGTTAAACAAAAAAATGGGAACAATAGCTGAGTGTACATTGTACCATTTTTGTTTATTTCCCTAAACCAAGTCCCGAACAGTAGCAAACTTTATGCTAGAAAGCTCAATAACTTAAAGAGACAGGAACAATTGTCCCTCCAAAAAGGATCTTCAAATTACTAATATTGAAATTCTACTCAAATTAACAAACTGGAATGCACTTTTACGCAATATGACCAGGATCATTGTGTGAAGACCAAGTTTAGGAAGAATGCCTTGGTTATTAATTCCTTAGTCTTCCTTTTCCCCTTTTTCCTTTCTTCTTTTTGGAAGCAGTATTAAGCCTCTCCCTCGGTACGAGATACTTGTACAGTTTAGGCTCGGTCTGGTCCCGAATACCAAGTTTAGATAAAACGAGGCAGTAAGAATCAAAGTCCGTCCGTCTGAGATACCTCACCAATTTCTTCCTCCTCTCGACCATTAGCTCAAGCCCCCTCCGAGAATGCTTATCCTATATCATTACATGATAAACCTTTTAGAAATATAACTTAGGCAGTACAAACATCAAATTCCTCCAGCTAAAGGAGTGGGCTAGGAATAGAATAGTGCACGAACTTTTGAACTCTGCACTTGGCTTGTGTCAAAGTTCTAGTAGAAGAACATTATCATTGATTTTTGGTAAAATAGGAAATATATTTAACCAGAATAATAGTAGGTGTAATTGATTGTGTGCCTTTAAAATAAAATGGCAAATCATCTAAACAAGAAATTTTTATACAAACATGCATTATATACGGTATGTACTCACCTTTTTATGCAGAACACTATCCAGATGTTTAATCTTTGTTGTGAGTTGTGCCACTGCAATATAGCTAGTCATCTTAAAACAGATTTTTAAAAGCAAATCACATCAACGACAAATTCTTTCCTGAGTTTTCATGTGAATCCCAAGCACACACCCCTCGTGATGCAGTTACGAGCACAAAAATGTATACATGGTTGAGCAAAGATCAATCAATGGCGATATAAGCAAAACTCTGAAGCTCTTCAAAGAAAATTCTCATCCTATGTCCAAAGAAAATCATATTGAAAGCGCAAGGCTTAAAGAAAGATCTTATATACTAAATTATTGAAGCACAAGGATAAACAAAGAAATTTTACAAATTCTGTAGCATTGGCAAAATACACACGAGGATTAGCAATTTAAAATCAGAAATTGCGGATCATCAGAGAGGAACCGCCTCCAAGTCTCACATTAAAGACCAGTTTCATACTACTAGAAAACTGGCTTACCACTCAAGTATAAGTGGCTTGTTGAGATCTTACATATGAGATGCACCAATGGTGTGAATCTGAATTATGAGAGTAAATATTGGTAGATTAACAATTACTTTATTTATTCTAATCTTGAGAGAATTTCTAAATTAACTTTAACACTATAATAGAAATATTCCCATATAAACTATTGAAAATTCAGGTCATGTGCAGTTAATTTAACACCATAATAGAAATATTCCCATACCAAACTATTGAAAATTCAGGTAATGTGTAAATACGATTCTAGGTATTGGATATCTTTCCAGCAAACTATACGGGGACTTGGTGGTAACTAATTTCAGATAGTTTTTCCCCCTCGTCCAAGTTGTCGAGACATCACTAAGCAACAGATCTCAGCATGAATTTTACAAAAGCACTATGCATGCAGTACCTACTTAGTTCATCTAACCAACCTGAAGTCCCCATATATTGTATTATCAACGTGATGATAAGAGTTCAGGAAAGTTGGATATTCTATGAGCGCAAAATAGGAGGTATTCTACGGGGACTCGGTGGTAACTAATTTCAGATAGTTTTTCCCCCTCGTCCAAGTTGTCGAGACATCACTAAGCAACAGATCTCAGCATGAATTTTACAAAAGCACCATGCATGCAGTATTAGTTCATCTAACCAACCTGAAGTCCCCATATATTGTATTATCAACGTGATGATAAGAGTTCAGGAAAGTTGGATATTCTATGAGCGCAAAATAGGAGGTATTCACAAGTTTTTCAAGATGTCCAAGATACCCTATAGGCCAATTAATTTTACCTTTAGTTTTCTCATCAAACTCTACAACTGAGACATGATTGCATAAAAACTGGTAATTACAAATCTACCAACCAAGAAACCATGTATATACGACCAAAATATTTTTCTTATTCAAACAAATCCATCGATGTTTATTCATATATCTCTAAAGTCTCAAAGGCATTGCATAAAATCCATTATTCATTAGAGCGACAGACATTTCAAACAAGAAAGTAAGCAACTGAAAACATTACATACGAGTCTTCTGCAAGGATTTGAATTAATATATTCATAATCAATTTTCATGTCTCCAAAACTAGACACATCTAAGATGAAAAAATAGTAAGAATATCCTTTGGCATTATCAGCTTTTTATATATCTGAACAAACACTGCGTGGATAAGAGTTAAGATCACTTTACCTTGAACACGAGCAGAACCACAATCTGACTCTGACGTTTTAAATTCACCTCTGACTTTTTCAAGTTCCAGAGCTAGTTTCTCAGCAGATGACATGTTATCAGGATGAAAATACTGTAGAATAATATTAAAGAGAGAGAGAGAGAGAGATAATTACAAGATAAGAACTTATGCTGTGGAAACGACAACAAAAATAAAATTGATTGATAAATTTAAGAACATATTAAGCAGTAATCAAATATTTGTTGTCAAATCAATTGGTCCAGCACACGAAAGAATCATTAAACAGACAGTTACTCATGACTAGAACAGATGTTTCAATTGATATATCCAAATTAAATAATCCGTTGTTCTATCTTTGCGATTCGTTATATTATTGGGAGATTAAACTATAGATACAACTAAAATCACAAAAACTAGTAGATGTTTCAGAAGCAAAAATATGGTTGATGGTATATAGTCTACAGAACCAAGATGCGCAACACAATCCTTTCACCATCCACATATATTCTTGATGCTAATCAACCAAATGTATCCACCTATAATGCATGGACACTCCTATTAGGGTGGCATTGTGCGGACACTCAAGGACATTTATCCAATGTGCCACTTGCGCTTGTCCCATTTTTTATATATTTTAAATTACCGACCCTCGAGGAATAATATACACACATCTCTCGGGCAATTGTCCGACATACCATGTCCAATATCAAATATTATAAAAACTAAATAAATATATGAATTTAAAATTTTAAGAATTTATTGTGCCCGGACAACTTGGGTATCCACATCTGTTGGAAACTTGTAAAAATTGAAAACCAGCAGAAACAAGGATTATGAGATCAAATTACCTCATATGATGCTTTAAGGTCTTATTTGATGTTATTCAGATTATATGATTATATTTGCACCGCCCACATTTAAGCCTCCAGAAAAGTGTGATATTTAAATTGCTTTTAACCCCGTCTTGATCTTCTTCGGATAATATGCAGGTTAGACGGGCATATCCCTTGTTTGAGCCCCATTTTTCAAAAATTCATTTTTTTTCAAACTCATTTTCAACTACACATTCTCCCAATTTAATAATTTTGAACGTAAACCCAAAACGTTTTCCTTACTCTTTAACCACACATTCTCCAAAAATAAGTATTACAAAACTAATTTTCACAACCAAATGGGGCTTAAACAGGAGCATAATATCAAGAAGTTGCAGGACAGCAAATTAAGCTTCATCCCGACAGTCTGAAGATGACAATTAAATTGAGAAAGAAACATCTACCTTCTCAACTAAGTGGTCCTTTGGAGGTGACAGCATGAAGCTTGGGGTTCCACCGAGCTGACCCAAAACATTAAGTCTCTGCACTGTGACAGTTTATTTATTAATAACCTATAGGTGTTATATTACATTACAAAGCATTTACACCTTATCGCATCTATGCAAACTGGAAAAGAATCCCTAGCTCTAAAGTAACACTTTGCCCTTCAGAACTCATTTTAGATCATAAGTCAAGCAGACAATTTGCAGCACGGGATAGTTGAAAGCCAGAAGAGGGGATTAATTACATAAAGGGGGGTGATAATTATGCATATTTCACTACACAACTAATGAAATATTTATGCTTGATACTTGTTCAAAGAAAATAAAAAGACAAGGTAAAATGGATTAAGGTTAAATTGGGCTTTGATTATTTAAGGAGTTATCAAGATACTATATTGTGCACAATAGATCAAGGTTGAACAAATTGTTTCCTTGTGAATTTTTACAAGAGGAAAGCATGGAAAGTAAAAGCCCTTCAATATGTGCAGCAAATCCAACACAAGAAAGCACGCTTTGCAAATCAAGTGCTTACTTAAATTCCAACAGAACAATGTTATGACAACGATCTCAATACAAATAGAAAAACATTGCTAAAATCATTAGGTAATTCATGACCATGCCATTTAGACCAAATAAAAGGCCAAATGTATTTGCTATGGGAACGAGACCGTATATTAAGAACACACAACATGATGCAACCGGCTAATGGAATTATCATATATAAGCTAGTCGAATAGAACATTAATTTTACCAATCAAACAAATTGTTGCTGAAGCAGCAAAACTTACTTGTTTTCTTTCTGGCTTTCTCATCATCTGACATCTTCAACCGCTCAAGACTCTCTCTCAAGTCAATGAAATTGACACCCCCAGTCCTTGTCTCGCTCTCCTTCTCGTCAATCTCTCTCAGCTTCATGAGCCTCTCGTTCAGCTCCTGCAGTGAGAACCAGTTTCCCTTCTTCTTCTCGGGCCTCAACATCTTCAGCTTTTCCCCCAACTCTTCATATTTGTACATCTTGACAAATTCAGTCCTCGTTGCAGGGCCGGCTTTATCACCATCCCTTTTCTCCTTCCCAAATATCGAGGCAGGCAAACTATCACTGCCCCCAATCATCATTTGGGGTTCCTGCGCATTTGGACCCACAGGTTTCAACTTCAAGCTGTCCTTAAACCTCGAAAGTGACATAGAATCACCGGCCTTCCCACCAGAATCAGTTTGTCTAATTGGGGAATTGGACCGGAGCTGACGGAGGCTCTCACGAATTGCATTAAAAGCGAGTTTCCCACCAGCTGCGGCGGCTCCCGCAGGGTTCGCAGTCGAATCTGAAGAACCGGAACCAGAATCTTCAGTTTTTGGAAGGACATTTCTTTTATAGAGCTCTCGGAATGATATGGGTTGACCGGAATGGGAAGAAGGCGAAGCAGCGGACGATGATGACGGCGGAGTGGCGGAGCGGCGGCGAAACTCGGAGAGGTTTTTACGGATTTCTTCCAATGAAGCGATTTTAGTCGTTTGAGGAGTGGAATTTGAAAACGACGGCGTTTTGTGGGGGATTTGAGCGCGATTCTGATTTAAGGATTCTTTTTGTAGACTCGCTTTCACATCGCTGAAATATGAGGAGAATGGGGATTGAGATTGGGTTTCCGATTTGGATTTGGATTCGGATTCCGTATCGGGTCGGGATGTGGCGGCATTGGAGTCGGGTTTGGAAGATGAGGAGAAGAAGCGGTAGGGATTTCGGCAAGGCTGGGAGAAGGAATGGAGTTTGGGGTGGCGGAGACGGATGAGTTTGGCGGTGGCCACCATTGGCGGTGGCGGTTGTAGGAGGTTTAATGGAAACACTAGTTTTGCAGGTAAGGGTTTTAGAAGGAAAACTGAGTGGGAGTGGGAGCGTAATGCCCACTTTGAGTAAAACCACTGAATAATATTCTTACAATAAAATAAATTGCACATAAATTTAAAATCTTTTTTTTCCTACTTTACACACAATGGAGCTCAAACATAGCCAAAATTTACATGGTACCATTAAATTTCGCGTGGAACGCACGGAGTTAGTAAATAGGCCACCATATATCTTATCATGCTCGAGTAAAAGGCGTGATTTTTAAGGTATTCTTTCGATAGTGTTTAAATATGAAGCAATGTTTCAATCACACTTTTTAAATGTTGGAGCACTATTAGATCCGACTTGCCATATTTATTAGCAAAACGACGTGGAATTTCGGAATGCCAAGTACGATTTTAAGTCAATTTTTCAAGTCGATGACAACTAATGTAACCATTAAAAACTTGCATGACTACTACGTAAGAAAACTACTTCAATGATCATTTTGAATTTTTTTGAGTTTTTAGTAATTGTCACTGAAATTAACGTGTAGGGTAATTTTATATTGATAAATAGATGATACTCATTGTTTTATAATGGATAGGTCGTATCATTTAGAAGTCTGGTTGAAAATAGTCTAGCAATTTCTGTTGAAAAAGATCAAATTACTTGAACCAAAAAGAAAATGATATTAGGGCATTAGATTTATTAAATAAATATTACCACCAACCAATAAAAATATTGATTTTGTTTATAAATTTTTTAATGGAAGTAAATACCCTAGGGCGGAGTCGGCACTCAATGAGCCCCTGAGGTCGCTCGTGCTGGCTCTGCCAACTTTTTTTTTCCTTATATTGGGTGGTCATTTGTGGTCACCTGGATCCGTCTGTGCTCACCTGGATTTCTAGATCCGTCTTTACTATTTGGTGCAGCTAAAAATAATATTTTTAGTATATTTAGATAAAAATTGATGTGTGATTGAAAATATGATAAAAATTATGAATTTTATAAAATACATAGTTAGTAATTTTTGCTTAAGTTTTTATTAAAAGTTTCAAGCCACACCAAAAAGGGGAATATCTTTTCTAAAAATTCTTCGGATGCTCAAATATTTAACTTGTCATTCCTAATATTTACTCAAATTCTTAGACTGAGCACTTGTTTGTTTTCCTAAAAATTGATAAAGTTAATAGTCGATTTTAATAAAGTTAATAATGCTCCTCTGCTAATTTGGTGTTACCCACCGTGGAACCTAACTTCAGCATTGCCCAATTGTTATGCTGCTCATTGTCAGTAGGAGATCAACTTTATCGCGTCGAATATGGAAAAAAAAACTCCACGAGAGGACAAATAGATACTATCTACGTCCCATAAAAAATAGGCTTATTTCTATTTTCACACAAATGCAAATAGTACTACCTCTACAATAAATGATTATTTAAATATGATAATTTGTATTTGTTGATAATACGGTACATTAAATAGATGATATATAAGAAAACTAAAAAAAATATTTATATTTTTTATAAAGAAAGTGAACTACAATTTGGGACAAATGAAAAAAATAAAATCAATCATCGTTATGGGACGAATGTAGTATAAACTATAATCATGCATTACGCGTCAATCTAAATAAATTATCCTCAGTTCATACAATAGTCAACGCATTTTTAATTTGAATAATGATATTTTAACACCATGGTGATTGGTGATGTAACATTAATCTTGATGACTTTCAAGTGATAAGACATCTTAAATATCACTCATTTCTCTACTTTTAAAGTAATTAGCTATGGCCATACAATGCACGAACTTTGTTATTTTGAAGGTAATATTAGCGTTGAATATGATGGATTAAAGGGAAATATAAGCAAGGTTAGCAAAATGAGCTTAATTGAAACNCAAAATAAATTTACATATGATTTTACTCGTAAAATACAGTTATAAAACATTCAAAAAGTGCCAAGAAATTAAAAAAAAAACTTAAACGAGATCCATAGAAACTTTATCTTTCGAAATTGTTATGTAAAAACTAAAACAAAGAGCAAATATACATCTAGAGAAATATGGAAAGAATAATTCTTCATCATTACAATCATCTTATGTTACATCTATTTGTTCGTCTAATGGGAGCTCAAAATCCGACAGTCAGTAGGTCTTCTGTGAGCTCGACAAAGATATTTTTTTGTACAAAAAATCTTGGAAGGCGGTGGAGAATTGACGTAGAAAATTTGAATTTGATATTTGTGGGGCAGTCCGTGTACAAGAAGCTGGTTTTTCCATTTTTGGCCCCCATTTTTAAGATGTATGTGACGTCAATATTAATGGGTATATATATAGAATAAATTAGATATTTAGAGGCAAAAGAGTAGATTTGAAAAAAAAAAAAAAAAGGTAAAGGTGGGTCGATCGAGCAGCACCCCTCGTGGGGGTTCGAGGGCAAGGCCCCCGACGGAGATCGACCTGACTGGTCAGGTTGCGGGGGTCGAGGGCAATCCAAATTATCCCAATAAATAATAAATGAGATACAAAAATGAATTTGACAAAACAGAAGCTGCAAATTAAGATTAGTTTCTACTAAGCTAATTCAATTTCACTAAAATCAAGGGCCAAAGAAATCCCCATTATTTTTTTCCACAAGAATAATTTTTTACTCTGAATAAAACATTATGAAAAAGGATGGTCAATTTTTTTCAAATTAAACGTATTTTCCACTTTTCATGTTTTGTAACAAACTTTCCAAACAATTCGGAGAGTTTTAAAAAATCTCGTCATTTACATTGGTGTGTAGCAAAGTCATGAGATAGATATCATTGTGTCCACTTAAATTTCACTAAATGTTATCATCCTCAGTCTGATTTTTGTGGAAATTTTCAGTCATCATGATAAGCTGAGTTTCTTGTAAATGATAAGAAATGGTCATACTTATGAAACCTAATGCCATTTTTTCGCATACATTCAATCAAAGGTACTAACACAATATTAGAAACTAAATTCCAACTGCTTGCCTTGATTTTGTTTTGGTAAAGGAGAAACGATATTCTTTGAAAATTTATTCTCTTAAAAGAGGAGAAGAAAAAAATTGTAAATGATAAGAAATTGTCATACTTATTAATCATAATGCCATTTTTTCTCATAGATTCAATCAAAGGTACTAACACAATATTAGAAACTAAATTCCAACTGCTTACCTTGGTTTTGTTTTGGTAAAGAAGAAACTACATTCTTTGAAAATTTATTCTCTTAAAAGAGGAGAAGAAAAACAGATAAAGAAAAGAAAAATAGATCGCGAGGGTCAAGGGGGCAGCGCCCCTCGTGGGAATCGGGGGGCAACGCCCCCGACGGGGATCGACGTGCCTGCTCAGGTCGTGGGGGTCAAGGGGGGCAGCGCCCCTCGTGGGGGCTGCCCCCGTAAGGAAATCTGATTTGTAAACGATTGTGATGTTTTATAATTTTTATTATTGTTTTTGAATTAAATCATTAATAGATGAAATTGTATTTAGTTTGTGTAAAGTATATTAATTACTGTTTGCACTGTAAAAAAAACATTAACTCCGCACAATGCGGAGTTGATGCTCTGCACACCACGGAGCATTTGCTCTGTGGTGTCCGGTGCGGAGCTGATGACAATTTTTTTTTCCAACATTCTTCAGTCAACGATTATGGTATTTAATTTTTTTTTTCTTCTTTTCTGTTTTAGTCAACAATTGTGGATAAGGAAGAAGTCTATATTACCCTTTTGTATAACCTTTTGTTTTGATAAAATGAGGATAAAAAATGTTTCACAAATGAACAATAAATAATGGGGGAAAAAATGGGAAAAAAATTAATTGGTGGGAGATAAGTTGGGAATGGAAAATGCTTCAGAAATGAATAGTGCTCAGCGGATTGACTCTTTTATATTAGTAGGGATATATATCAATTATCAACTAACGAAACTTGCATACCACGTGAGCTCAAACTTGATATCATTCATTCTAAATAGTATTGCTCTTTTACTTTTATTAAATGATCGAGTTAGGCTAATAAGTGTATTTTGTACACTTATCTAGGTCATTATAATAGAGTATTTGTTAGTAATTTGGATGAGTTATAACTTAATTTCGTATTAATTACGTTTGTTAGGTTGAACTTAATACAAATTGTTGGATTTGGAAGAAATGAACGAAAAAATGAAAAATGAAGGAAATCAAAAGTTTTGGGACCAAAGTGTAAACATTAAATAGTTGATTCGGAGCACAAAACGATGATTGAAGATCATATAGAATCAATTGGATACAGTTGGATGTCAAATGAGTGAAATATAGTGAAAGTATTTCACAAATCAATTTCTAGTTGAAGAAGTTTTAAAAAGTATTTTAGCATGAACTTGAGACCCATTTTTCGAATAGCAAACGTTCGAAGTGAAAAAATTGTATTTTGATAAGAACTGTATTCCTTTTAATTACATTTCTAATGCATTTTGAATCACCTCAATCGGATATCTATGAAGAAAATTATGGCCAAAATACTAAGAGTTACTCGCGGACGAACAGAAGCGACCGGCGCACACGACACCTTATTTTCTCTAACCCGAGATTTATTGGCTATACGGCGGGCACGCGGTAGTTATACCAGTGCGCTCGCGGGGGCAATTTTTGGGCCTGAACGGCCGAACTTGGAATTTTGATCCAAATTCTTATGGAAATCAAATTCAACGTACTATTTAACCTACATGGGGCGGCTCGAACTAAAAGAAGATATCAAATCCTATTTTTCATCACAAGAAGGAGGCTAGCACAATATTCAAAAGTAATTAACACAAGACATTGAAGATTCAAAGTCCGGGGTTGAAAATTAACGAAGAAGAGATTGATTTTTTCACTTTCCATTCGTTATTTTTCATTCCGGGTGATGTTTTTAAGGGAGATATAAGCAAGATTAGCAAAATGAGTGTAATTGAACAAAATAAATTTACGTATGATTTTACCCATATAATACA